ACATAAATCTAACACGGAAGCTTTTCCGCACGTATCTCCAAAAGAATGGTGATATGCTGAGTCATTTGAATACTATGAAAAGCAATTTTCAAGAACTGCACGAGAAGGAGTTAATTTTCTCTGAGCTACACCAGGTCTACATAATGCTATCTTCATTAGACAAAAGTTTTGATGACTACGTAACTTCCCTTGAAATATTGCCTAAAGAAAGTCTAACTTTAACTGATATCACTGGCAGATTGATTGAAGAGGCCAGAAGAAGGCTTGAAAGAGATCAGTTAAGGAGGGAGCAACCTCAAAAGGAAAATAATGAATCTCCTACTGCATATGCAATTAAAAAGTGTTTTAATTGTGGGGGGAGAGGACATTTTGCAAGATTTTGTAAGAAGCCAAAGCGCCAGAATGCAAGCCAGAATGCTGTAAGCCATCAAAGAAGAAATAAGAATTATGAGTTAGCAATGTATAGTAATGGAGTTGTAAAAAATAATTTATGGGTGGTTGACAGTGGTGCGTCCCACTGTATTACAAATGATAACAAAAAAATTGTAAAAATGTCCATGAATTCACAACATATCTCATTGGCAAACGGATGGAAAATTAAAGCAAAAGGTGAAGGTATTGCACATTGTTCTTATATAAATGAGAACGTAAAAATGTTATATGTACCTCAACTTAAATTTAATTTGCTTTCTGTTAGAATGTTGGTTAGATTAGGATACATAGTTACCTTTAAGGGAGATACTTGTTTAATTGAAAAAGAAGGTAAGAAAATTACTGCATCTTTAAGAGGTGATTTATATGTGTTAAATGATAATGGTTTAGAGGTGGCTAACACAATTTATGAAAATAAGAAACCTCATAATGAATGTATTCACTTGTTACACCGAAGGTTAGGTCATTTAAATTTTAAAATGATTAAGAGAACTGTTCAGCTATCTAAAGGAATAAGTTTGAAACCTTGTAATAAGTATTTGCAATGTTCTGCTTGTAATCAAAACAAAAGCAAAGTTATACCGGCAAATAGAGTTGATGGATTTACTACCAAAGAGCCTTTAGAGGTAGTATTTGCCGATATAATAGGTCCTAAAAAGCCAAGTGTAGGTGGTGCTAAATACATATTAAGCATAATGGACCACTATTCTAGGTATGGTTTCTGTTTTTTAATGAAGAGAAAAACTGAAATGTATACAAATTTCTTTAATTGGTTAAAATTTGCAGAGAGGAAAACTAAAAAGAAATTAGTAACTCTTATAACAGATAATGGTGCGGAATTTACAAATAATAAATTCCAGAATAGACTTAGAATGGCAGGTATTCAACATAAAAAGTCTGCACCATATAGGCCTCAACATAATGCATTTATAGAGAGAAGAGGCCAAACACTGCAATCAATGGGAAGAACAATGTTATCTGATTCTGGATTGATAGCACAAGCGTATCTGTATTTTTACTGCGTGTTAACGAGAAGGCTTATCTCACACATTTACCTGTCTTCCTATCTGACTTCGCTGTACATTCTGTTTAGTTTGTTTTCCTTAACACCCGTTGGGGAATCCAGGCTTAACACTTTGCTTTTTCCAGGGCAGCCCTGCAGGCCAGATCTAAGTACCCCGTGGGCTATATCTGGGCCTTGAGTTTGACACCCCTGTTATAGTGAACTAAACACCATCATGACGCATGAGAGAGATGCCGTAGGTTCACATAAAACAGAGTTTGTCAACCTTACTGGCTGAGAAATTGTGGGGTTTGAAGTCCATACAACTTGAAGTCACCAAGGTTGACGAACATTGACATAGGAAAATATACCTGCCCCAGAGTGTACATCTTTGTGTAGAGACTAGATAATATTCATTGGCCAGAAGTAAGAAGAGTGGCACATTGTGTTGGCTACTTGAAAAAAAGTCAGCCCCTAAATAAGCTTGTAACTCCTTGCTTTCAAGAAAAATAAGGACAAGGAGAAAAGAAGGGGTCCTGCCCTGGATTTTATCCCCTTGATTGAATGATCATGTCCCCTGTTTGGGCTCCTCTCCTTATCCTTACTCACCTCATTCAAGTATAGCAGGACATGATTGATGTTCACTTCAGTCTTCTGGATCTGACCTAGCTTTTCCAGCTTCAGGGTGAAAACATTTGAAAAATGGAAAGAGCTTTAGTAGCATTCATAGTCATACTAGGTGGCCATAGAAACAGAGTTAGAAGTGATCTTGTAAGTCACCCAAGTTAAACCTCCCACTCAGTAAAGAATCCACCACAAAGTTGTGGCTAACTTTGGGTTGCATGTATAGGTGCAATATTTCATATCGGGAGAAAGAATGGCAACTGCTATTTTCATTGGAGAAAATATCAATATTCATCACATCTGTTTCAGCATTATTAATCCCCATTTCTTATTACAGGTAGTTCTCAACATGCAATCAATTGCTTAGGAACCATTCAAAATTTTGACAGACTTCCCCAGGGCCACTCTTCCTGATTGCCCTCCACCTATGGTCATGTGATTACATTTTAGGTGTTTCGCAACCACCTGCCTTTCTGGTTCTTTGAAGTATCCCACAGTTATGTGACCACGATTTTCAATGTTTTTTACCAGAAACCATCATTTACTTCCAATTTCTACCAAAACTCAAATTGCAGACAATAATGCACTAAATGTTCATCAGAAAAAAAGGTTGTTAAAAGATACTTATTTAGGCATATACTGTACATATATACGCACATATATGTAAAAGGGGATAATTTACTTCTTTTTCTTCAGTGCCCAGCTAAAGTTGATCACTTTTTTCATCTTTTTTTGTACGCTATTTTGTTATTAGTGTTGAATGTGTGCTTCTGTTTTGGTTTTTTTACTTTTCTGTTTTGTATTTTATCTTTTTATGATAAAACAATAAATAATGTATATAAAAAAGAAAGAAAAATGGCTGTAAAATTAGATGCAGTCAAATGTTGACCCGTCTAGTGACCAGCGCAACTTGTGACCATAATTCCAAGGTTGATTGCAGTCATAGGTCGAGAATTACCTCCATAAAGAAATACAGCACTGAAGCTTTAGCGGAAAAGGGAACCTGGGCTAAAAAAATACCTTTTTTACACTGGATTTCACCGGGATGTATCCGGACAGCATCTTAATCTGGACAATTACCATATTGGAAACTAGACGTTGGCCAGTATAACTGAGAAACCAAGAAAGGAGAGAAGACATGTGACTCTTTTTGAAGTAAGAAATACACAGCTTGAAGCAAAATGCTGCATGCAGGTTCATAAAAACTTGGCCGTGCCCTCAGGGCCTCCATCCAATGTTGCCATTAAATGGAGCTTCTGGAATGTGGAACCATGGCCTTTCAGAAAGTGGGGGAGCTGAGTAGCAGCCTTTGGACCCTCATACAATGGTCCATCCCTGAAGGAGAAGGGCCTGTATCTGTTCAAGAAAGCAAGGCTCAACACCCATCCAAGAAAGAGATTACCTGACATTCATGGCAATGTCAAAAGTGACATGAGCTTTGTTTCCTGTGCAAGTCTCAGGAACGGTGTGCACATCCAGCCTAAATGGTGCATCTTCTTGCTCCAAAGGGACATTGTATTTCAAGGCAGTCTGGAATGGAAAGGCCATCATTTGGGAATGTTCAACACTCCCGTGACAGAGGAATTTGGAGATTTAAAACGTGGGATATGTAAAAGGGTGAAAAAAATCTGGATTCAAATAGACACACTAATCTAGAGGATTTAAAGATTAAAATACAATTGAGACCAGAGGCTTTTCTTTGAGGATTCGATGAACAAACAGTTGGGGAAAAAGTCATGGAACTTTGTTGTTGTACATGGTAACTGCAGTGAGATTAATGTATGCACAAAAATGGAAAGATTCAGCACCCCCACAATAGAGGAACAGTTGGTGAAAAAGATGGAATTCACTGAGATGACCAAATTGATTTATCTGACAGAGAAAAGACAAATATCTATGTTTATTGCTGACCGGAAACTCCTAATGGACTCCTATTTATTTATTTTATTATTTTATTTGTAAAGGTAAAGGTTTCCCCTTTCCAGTCGTGTTCAACTCTTGTGAGGGGGTGCTTATCTCCTTTTCTTAGCTAAGGGACTCAAAATTGTCCAGACACTTCGGTGGTCATGTGGCCAGCATGACTATACACAGAACACTGTTACATTCCCACCGAAATGGTACCTATTTATCTACTTGCATTTGCATGCTTTTGAACTTCTAGGTGGGCAGAAGCTGAGGCAAGAATGGGAACTCACCCCATCACGTTGCACTCAGTTCTTGAACCCAGGCCGTCATCTTTCCAGCTGACAAGCTCAACATCTTTAACCACTGAGCCATCATGCTCCTTTATTTGAATCCCCCCTTTATTATTTTACAAATAGGAGAAAAGGAACATAATTTATAGTGTTTTGATGTTTAGACATGATAGATTATAAAAAGGAGTTATGTTGTAACCATGGAGTAAGAGGTATATTTATTATTTTACTTTTAACTGCTGTAAAGAAGTTCACAAGCTACTACTTTCCTTTTTTTTCTTCTATTTTTCTGTTACTTCTTTTTTCTTGCACTTTTAGCTTTCTCTTTGATTTATTTTCCTTTTTCTTCTTATTTTGTGTTACACTATTTTGTATAAATTATGTATTTAAATATTTCTATAATTGCCCATCTTCCATCAAACTATAGGCAGCTCCCAACCAACAATTAAAAGAACAATATAAAACAATATAATACACATACTTATTAAAACCATAAACATTACAAACCTAGCACCAAAGCTAAATTTCCAGTCAATTATTAATCCTTTTGTTCACCTCATTCTCTCCCAATGTTTTGGAGAAAACCCAGGTCTTCAGTGCTTTTCAGAAGGGTACAAGGGTAGAGGCCTGCCAACTTTCTGGGAGAAGAATGCTCCATTGGACAGAAACTGCCACAGAACAGGCACACTTCCTAGATCCCATAAATTGGCAAAGTCTAAGAAAAGGGACTAGAAGCATGTTCATCTTATTTGACCCGGTAGGACAAGTAGATGTCCTTAGGGAGATGAAGTCCCACAAGTGCCATGTAGAGATTTAAAGATAATAATCCTTTTCATCTTTTGAAATGTTTATAATGTTTTTCTATGATTTTAAAAAAAATTATCCTAAATTATTCTGATGTTAATGTTTAATTTTATTGATTAAATTGTACTGAGGAGTATTCCTTGCTGCTCTCTGAGCTTGGTTTTTTTCTTGCAGACATTTCATTCCCCAAGCTAAATAAATCATCAGTGCTAGTAAGCAGTGGGGTTTTCTCTCAGTTTCTATTCTAGTTGCTCACCCTGTCAGAGTGGAGTTGGGAGTTCTTTGGTTGGTCTGTTTACTGTTAACTTTTTTGGCAGTTCCTTGATTGGGATATTTACTTCTTGATTGTTGGGCTGATATTAATCTTGGGGTTCATTTATGCTCCTCTGGGTGCTGTTTGCTTTTTGTTCCCTTTCCGGGAACAAAATTAAATTGCACATTGCCCAGAGCCTTCTCTGAGGAGAGGGGCAGTTAACTAATATCAAATATAAACAAACAAACAAACAAACAGCACCTTAAATTGCACCCGGAAGGAGTTGAGAGTGAGTGAAGCTTCACAACAGAGATATTAAACGGGAAAATCTAAGAGCACCCATCACTGCATACACTGCGGCATTCTGGATAGTTGTAGCTTCCAAATGGTCCTCAAGGGCAGCCCCATGTAGAGCGTATTGCAGTACTCCAAATAGAAAAAGGAAATCTGGAACGAGTGCTTCATTTACAATTTAGTTGCTAGCAACTTCCCAAGGACCCTGGGTGCGGGGGTCTTGCTTGGCTAATGTAAACCATTCAAACATTGTCAGAAGATGGCGTCTCTAAAACACTAGTCTCTCACCATTTTTCTTCCCCAGTGCTTTTCTCCCTCCCTCCCTTCCTTATCAGGTCTCTTTATCTTTCATAAATGACCTATGGAATTCATTCCTTCATGAACTGAATGGCTTCTAAAGCAGGATTGGATGCATCCACAGAATACAGGTCTCTCAAGGTTCCATGTCCTTTCTGAAATCAGGACAGCAGGTCCCTTTGTGTCAAGTTGTGGGAGAATTATGGGCTCTGCCTCCTGCTTCTCATGGCCGGCCGCCATGAGAAGCAAAATGCTGGACTTAAATGGCTTAATCTGGTCTGGCTGCTCTTATGTTCTCAAAGATATTCTCCATCCCTTATTTAGCTGGCTGACTCTCTTGATGTCTTTTCTTCTCAACTTACATTCCCATAAGGCCATTGGGAACCCAAAAGAGATCATCACTAGGCAGTGACACTGGTCTCTTCTCTCACTAGAGCGCTCACCTGCATAAAGATGCAACCGGTCACCTCAGCCTTGTAGTTCCCTGGCACTTGGGGCAGATCCTGGCACTGGAGCAGCAGAGAGTTTTTGCTGTCCACATGGAAATTTGTCAGGACAGCATCTCCTGAACTCAAGGTCACTCTGGCATAGATGCCATCCTTGGAATAAGTAAGTGTCTGGTATTGGGAGAGGGCCTGGAGAGCCACCACCGTATCCTGCAAGAGAAAGCAAAAGAATGGAATGGAATGGA